ATAGAGTGTCAAGTGTTTTACAACGCCTTAATTCAGACAAAAGAAGAGCTTTAAAGTGGATGAACATCGTTTGCACTTCTATTTTGATAAATGTTTCATCCGGCAACATCGCTCATCAATGAAATTGCAAAGGAATATGTCAAGTATAATCTAACAAAACACAAAACCTTAAACGACACTGCGGTGAGTTCAAGTAATATGTAAAGTATTAGTTTGCTCTTTGTCAAATTACACGTTACAAAGAAAGAAGGAAGGATTCATTCTGGAATGGCCCCTGAATAAGAATATGACGCAAGCCTGTCACAAACTTGCTTCTCATTGGACGCTCACCTGCAGCCTACAAGCGACGCGCGCAGTCAGGTGATAGGAGATCGGTCTATTGGCCAGTGTTGCCAGAGCTACCCTGTTCGGGGTAGATCTACCCCTTTTGAAAACAATCTCGCCCTACTGCTCCCCTCGACCAAATCTACCCCGCTCTCAATGCAATGCTATAACACAAAAAGAATGCTTATTGCTAATAAAAAATACTTACAAAATCATAATTATGAGAAACAATTCATTTATTTGAACTGTATGCAACGAGTTTCTTTTTGTTCACGCCTATGATACATCATCATTTACAGATTCCTCCAGCATTAGCCCCAGCATAGTACTCCTAACAAAAAATGTATATTCTTTATTTTTTCAGTGTCTTCTTTGAATTTTAGGTGTCCCTTGCAGAGCTGGGCAGGGCTCGAGTGCTTTGTGCTTGCGAAAGTGCTTGAAGCACTTTGAGGACTTGAAAGCCCTGTGCTTCAAGCCCTTTTATAGATTTGTAATTGGGGCTTGCAAAGTCAATTACTTTAGAAAAATGCTTGGTAATTTGTAATTTAAAAAAGTAATTCAAGCCCTTTCAATGAGCTTCAATTACTTTTAGAGGGCTTGAAGCACTTTTGGGAGCTTGAAGCCCTTTGAAAGGGCTTGAAGCACTTTAAGAGGGCTTGAAGCACTTTTGGGAGCTTGAAGCACTTTGAAAGGGCTTGAAGCACTTTAAAAGGGCTTGAAGCACTTTAAAAGGGCTTGAAGCACTTTAAAAGGGCTTGAAGCACTTTGAAAGGAATTTGAATTGACCATCATTCAACCTATCCCCCACTTAAACATTTTCGATCGTGTTTTGTCCCTTAATTTTTTTTTCTATTATTTGAACTTGAACCGTCTTATGTCTTTTCTCTCTTAACAATGAAGGTTTTGAGCTTAGAATGGAATTAAAAAAAAAAAAATGAATGAACTTATTATTCAAATAAATAAATAATTTATAGGTACCCTATTTAACTTTATCACTGGATTTTTTTCACTTTTCCCCATTGAACATTTTGAAAACCTTAAAATTGAATTACCATGTAGTACCCCAACTACCCCAAGTACCCCAGAACTACATCTCAAAAAAAAACATACTACTGCTACGTTGTGGAATGTGAAGTTCGTCTTTACTATACCAATTCTGTGTGATGAGTGTACGCGGTAACTTATGCCACTTTGAGAATTTTATTACAAATTCAAAGTGCTTTAGGCACATTTAAAGAGCTTCAAGCACATTTAAAGAGCTTGAAGCACATTTAAAGAGCTTGAAGCACAGTTAAAGAGCTTGAAGCCCTTTTCAAGGCACCCCAAGCTCTTTTGATGTGCTTCAAGCACTTTTCAAATCACTTTGAGGGCTTTGTGCTTGTCAAGCCCAAAGCACTTTGAGGGCTTTGTGCTTGTGAAGCACTTTTGAAAATAAAAAGGAATTTGTGCTTGAAATTGAAGCACTTTGATAGAGGGCTTAGGGCTTAGTGCTTCAAGCCCTTTTACTGAGGGCTTTGCCCAGCTCTGGTCCCTTGTGCCTTCAAGCAGAAAATTATGTAAAAACATTATATTTATTCACCTAACAATGTGTTAGGTACAAAATTTCACCTATATCGTATATTATTAGCATAAGTTTTGTCTACTTTATCGCACACTCTGCGGTAAAGTACTACTTTTCGCACGCTCGTAGGTAAAATTTTTATTTCTACCCCGCACCGGTTCGATTCTACCCCACTATCTTGCCGTAATCTGCCCCAATAAAGAAAGACCTTGTGGCAACACTGCTATTGGCTAATTTTGGACAAACTTGGTGAGTAAACCACTCGGTCATCGTTCGAATACCTAGAGCAAGATTGGCACACCGAAGTGTGTCAGACCCCCACTCCTTGAAATAATTTTCAGACCAACAACCAGGTTCTCGAACGCAACCCTGGGATCATATTTTCGGATTTATCCGAGTAGGTACACTTCACACTTCGTACACGAAATTTGACTATGACAGCAATAATGTGAAATAAATAAAAATAAAAAAATCGTAATATCAAATTTCGTATGCGAGAATATTCGAAAATACGACCTCAGAATACAACCCCAGGGTCATTATTCTTGAAACCGGGGAGCAGCGTTCCCAGGAGAACGAATGTTCCGTCTTTCTCAATGATATGCAACTGATTATACAACTCACTGTACATTATTCCCATATGACACGAGAGGCTTTATAAGTGATAAGCCTTTTCGGATCATCGCGCTTGGTGGCATTTATAGCAAATTCTATTATAGAATTCTTTTTAAGTTTTAAAGTATTAAAGTTTAGTTCGTTGTATAGCATTTTAAATACCACTCGATGTTTCAGGATTACCTAATACTTTTACCTGACACTCAACGCGTTACCAGCAAGTATTATCCGGTAATCCTGAAATCTCTTGTGGTATTATACATTCGATAATATAAGTAATAAAGACGGAACACTCGTTCTCCCGGGAACGCAGCTCCCCTGTTTCAAGAATAAGGACCCTGAACCACATGTTCATTTGAGTTGAGTTCGGAATGGGATTTTAGTGCAGTGTTAGTGTGGTGTTCGTGTAGTGCAGTTTCATATCGGGTGATGAAGGTGTAATCGACGGTGTAACACCGAATACACCATCATTTTGTACCGAGTAAACGGTGTCCCACCATTTTCATACCATTCGGACACCAAATTATTTTCAAACGCAAAAAAAGTATACACCAAACACTCCTACCAATTAACGAACGCCATAGTGTCAATAGTGTAAAAAGTGTTGACACTTTCTACCATTCCCAATTTACCTATGGTAATGGTGCAGTGTCGTTGGTGGCTAGGGTACGTTCCGTTCCGTTCTCCTATTTCGATATAGGTACCATCGTCACCAAAAGTAACTGGGACAGCATCATATCAGCTCTTGTACTATTATATGAATTTTATTGTCAAATATTTGTCAAACTATGAATCAAAGGCATTGAAACGAATGACAGTAGAATTAGTCCAGGAGATTATTATGCATTATTTTTGTCCCAGATACTTTTGGTGACGATGGTACATTCACGTTTTCTATTTTAATAAAAATAAAGTCGCAAAGTCGGCCCGCGATCATAGTTCAACTAATATCAGAAATTCAAATATTTTCATCAAGGAAAATAATTGAAATTTGAGAGATTTCCAGGGGGGGGTCGAGTGACCCCCCTGACCCTCTCTGTGGGCGCCCATTCAGTAGCGTAACTTAACATTAGGGGGCCTCGGTGCAAGATTAGATCAGCCCGCCCGCTATTGACCCGTCGGAGTTTTCTTCAGGTGCCACGCCCAAACACGGTAATTTTAAGCCTTATTCAAAAATAGTATATTGTGTATTTGGGTGGAAATTATACATTTTAGGCCGTCGGTGTAAAGCCTAGTACTCATAACTGCGAAATTCGCATTTTTTTGACATTGCGTTGACAGTTTGACGTTTGATACACGCATAAAACGTCAGATTCTCAACGCAATGTCATAAAAATGCGAATTTCGCAGTTATGAGTACTAGGCTTAAAGGAGGATTTTCATGCATCCGTTTTTCCGTCCAAATATGTCCGTTTAACATTCTATTCTGACATATTTATATACGATTATGTCAGAATAGAATGTTAAACGGACATATTTCGACGGAAAAACGGATGCATGAAAATCCTCCCTAAAGCCTAGTACTCATAACTGCGGAAATCGCACTTTTTTGACATTGATTCGACAATTTGACGTTTGAACACTCATAAAACGTCAAATTGTCAACGCAATGTCAAAAAAATGCGAATTTCGCAGTTATGAGTACTAGGCTTAAGTTGACGAGGCGCAGCCGAAACCGGCAAACACCGAACGCCGAGAATGTGCTTTTCCTCTGAAATACACATACCTACTATTTTTTCTGCGATCGCTCAGTGATATAAAAAATGAGGAATGCTTTTGTGTTGTTCCTAAAAATCAGCACACTTTCCCGGCCTAGGCCAGAAAAATGATTTCCGTACTATTATCGATTGATTCCTTAGCAATCACTTTCCCGGCCTAGGCCGGAAAAGTGATTCCCGTACTGCTATAAATCGATTCCTTAGCAACCATTGAAAATAGCAGAACATTGAGTTTTGTGACCTGTCAACCGGTCAAAAATGATGACGGTACATTTCTTGTCAATCACAGAAAAACATTTTTTTTTTTTTTTTTTCAAATTACATATACGAATTTAATAAAATAGGTAGGTACTTTACTTATGACAAATGAGGGGCCCCTTAATTCTCAGAGGCCTCGGTGATTTGCACCGAACTGCCCTATGATAGTTACGCCAGTGAACCAGCGCCACGTGAAAAGGGTTATTGAATTCACCAATCAGCGATCCGTATCGTCAAGAGTTCGGGTCGTTCGGAACGAAGGTTTTGTAAACACCAAGTGCACTAAACACCAGCTAAACACGAAGCATTCGGGTACGGTCATTTTCGAGCTGAAAGAGTAACTCCGTATAAGTCGTGAGTTGAAAGGAGTGACTCTAGAAGTCCCATTCGTGACGTCACTTTTTTTCTGGAAGTCGGAAGAAGAAGAATCCTTTTCTTTCTCTATCTCTCTCTATAATAGTCTATAACAGGCGCGTTCGTTTATTCGATCTGTGCGCACCGTGCGCTCGAAATTGCTAAATTCCGTTCGTTTATTCCATTTCAATTTCGAGCGTTTCGAGCAAAATCATCCTTGTCTTGCCCAGTGAAGTGTGACTTGAGTTTTCTTTTTCCATTTTTCTTTTTCCGGCATTTTCCTCATGTCCATTGTCTATTCTTATCACATTTCCAAATAAAGCTTTTCTCTAGTTTCAGAGTTTCACAAAAGTAAAAATTCTGTAGGTGAATATAAAATAATTGTAAATTTATTTGCAGAAAAGGTAGGGAACAACAAGGGGTAAGTTAAAAGATAAAAGCAAAAATGTTTTGCTCCATCACAAAAAACGAATCAAAATAGTTGCTAAAAAGGTCAAAAATAGTATAATTTCTGTCCAAATTTGTCATGTTAATGTACACCTCCTACAGTTTCAAATTGAAAGTTATATTTCACTTTTTAGGGTAACCAACCAACTGCTCCCAAGTTTAATAATAATTCGGGACAAAATCTGGAAACATGGAAGCTGGTAAGGAACACATGGAATTGGGTGACAAAAAATCCTATGCCGGCATACCCCAAGCTGAATTTGTGGTACGAATGATCAAAATTAAAAAAAAACTCATATTTTATCAGCTAAGCTTTCAAACAGAACTACCCTCGGTACTATCATACAGCTTGTAGTAAATCGAACAGAGTTAAGTTTTACAAATCACAAAATATACTGAGAAGTGCCTGAATGGTTCATTTAAATTGAGGCAAGCAGGTTAACCACTTCCTTTTTGGACAATGTTGTGGCAGGGAACCAAAACTAGACTCTATTCTGTTTCCTTTTTGTTAGGAACGTAGGGAAAGGCAATAATCGAGGCAAAAAACGGTTGAAGACCATAAAGCGATCATAAGCCATAGGGGGCCATAAAACCCAGATAACTATAGTCCTGGACAAAATTATCGCACCACTGCTTATTTATTTATTTATTTATTATACGGGATAACCCCATTAACAGCAAAATGACAACAAAAAAGAATAATTTGGTTAGGTACCTATGCATTATAAAACCTGCAGCAAGTAAGCGTTACCACTAAAAGAAAAACAAGAAACAACAAAAATTTGAACTTAAGGAAAAACAATCTAAGCTACTAGAAAAAAATATATAAACAATATACTCAAGGAGAAAAAAAAAAAAAAATAAAATAGCTTAACTAATAACTATCAATCAACAAAAACAAAATTAATTAAAGTAATACTGTTCCACACCATTATTTTTATAACAAAATTGCCCTTTTAAAAATCCCCATCGATACATTAAAGACATCAATATCATAACAATTAATTAAGGACATATACCGATGTAAAGGGCTGTTAACCCCATATGTTGTCCTATGAAAAGGAATATGGAACATATTACTCTCGATATTATTGTTGCGTAGACCCTGATAATATGGTACATTTAAACCTACATAATTTAAGAGATCTGGGCTGTCAATCAACCCAATTACAATTTTATAAATGAAAATCGCACCAAACACATCACGGCGATTTCCCAAAGGACTTAGGGATAGTTGACGCTCAATATCATCGTAGTCATGGTCAATGATTGTAGGAAAATCATACCTAAAAGCACATATTCTCAAAAATGAATGTTGCACTCTTTCCAATAATGCAGAGTGAACATGAAGAAAGGGAGACCACACAACTGAACAATACTCTAGCACTGACCGCACTAAAGAGCAGTAAACAAGCCTCACTGACTCAACAGAAAACTACTTGCAGTTTCTACTAATAAAACCCAACATTTTTGACCCCTTTATACTTATTGAGATAACATGCTCAACAAATAACAATTTCTCATCGAATATAACGCCTAGATCCACAACGGATGATACATACTTGAGTTGTTGACCTTCTATTGTATAATCTGTTTCAATTCTGTTTGATTTTCTTGTGAACTTATAAAGCAACATTTCTTTACATTCAAAAATAATTTGTTTGACACGCACCATTCTATCACATGATCTAAATCTTCTTGCAGCATTTGCTGATCGCAAATGGTCTCAATAGTTTTCCAAAATATAATATCGTTTGCAAATAACAAGCATAAACTATATAAAAAACAATCAACAATGTCATTAACAAAAATATTAAATAGCAGTGGCGAACAATGTCCACCCTGTGGTACTCCTGATGTAACATAGATAATATCAGAGAAAAAACTGCCAATCTTAACCTGTTGGACACGGTCCCTCAAAGAACTCTCAAACCATAGAACAAGACCTGCCCTCTGAGAAGCCATGCTGTTTTTGAGAAATAAGACCTTTGCACTGCCAATGCAATTGCTTACTAACGAGACAGTCGAACAGTTTAGGTATAGCTGATTGGATACATATACTGCGATAGTTCTCCACATTGTGCTTTTTACCGCTCTTGAATATTGGAACAATGTGACTAACTTTCCATTTGTCAGGAAATGTAGATAACTTCAAAGACTTATTATATAGCAAATGCAAAGGCAGCACAATGGTACAGACACATTGTTTTAATAGAAAATTTGGTATTCCATCAGGTCCCGAAGTAAGTTTGTTTGGCAGTTTGCTAATCTCATTGAAGATAACAGTCTTTGAAATTTCGGAATAATTAATGTTTGTGCTCAAGTTGTTATCATTAAAGTCTGAAGAAAGATCGGCGGAAGATGTGTTTTTCGTGTAAACAGTTTGGAAGAATTCTTTGAAGAGATTGGCTATGTCTTGACCACTATGAGCAGACTGGGCCTCATAAGAAAAAGCACTGGGTAAACTATGACTTGACCTCTTATCTTTAATATACTTCCAAAAAGACTTAGGGTCTTCCTTCAGCTTAAGATCGATACCTCTAATGTAAACATCAAAACAGTGCTCTGAAAGTTTTTTACATTCTGAACGAAGCTTCGAAAACCTTAAATAATTATCTTCGGAACGATCCTTGATATAGAGGGTGTGAGCATGTTTCTTCTCAACAGTTAGTTTCCTTAACTCAGACGAAAACCACTTTGGAAAAGAATATATTTTATACTTTTTTAACGGTATAAAAAAGGCAATACAAGTAGACAAAATTTCGTAAAATAGATTAGTATTCTCATTAACATCATTATTACCCAGTAATGTTACCCAATTTATAGAAGCCAGGTAATTATTCAGTTCTCTATAGTTACCATTACGAAAGTCATAGTAATATTCATCATATGCAAGAATCGCTTATGTGATGCTTATGTGCAGTGGTGCGATAATTTTGTCTAGGAGTATACCGGGTGTTTTTCAAAACCCGCTCACCCCAATAACTTTTTTATTTTTCCAAATAAACAAATGAAATTTGGTGGGTTTATTTATGAACCAGATGTGCATTATTTGACGTATTCAATTATTTCTTATCACTTCCGGTTTGACCGGAAGTGACTTTTTTATTTTAAATAAGACGCCAGATATATTTTCCCTTATTTCAATAGAAAACTACATTACGAGTACAATGACACATGATTTGTCACTTTTTGACATTTTATCACCAAATTATTTAAATTTTCATTTTTTAATCTAGAGCGCCATGAATTAGTTAAAATGCTTAATTTTGCTCCAAGGAACCTGGGAAAATTTGTTTTGATCTTATTTTGTATTTTATATCCTCAATAGACTCATTTAAAGATAGTAGAAGCGCATTTTTGGAATTATATCAATTTTTTCAAATGGAAAGGGTATGGCTCATTAGCATATTCCGAGAGAGCATTTTCTAACGAACAATTTAGTACCACACATTTCAACTAATTCATGGCGCTCTAGATTAAAAAGTAAAAATTTAAATAATTTGAAGATGAAATGTCAAGAAGTGACAAATAAGGTGTCATTGTACTCGTAATGTAGTTTTCTATTGAAATGAGGAAAAATATACCTGGCGTCTCATTTAAAATAAGAAAGTTTTGGTCACTTCCGGTAAAACGGGAAGTGATAATAAATAATTGAATAGGTCAAATAATGCACATCCGGGTCATAAATAAACACACCAAATTTCATTTGTTTATTCGGAAAAATAAAAAAGTTATAGGGGTGAACGGGTTTTGAAAAACACCCGGTATATCAGATCAGAGGCGTCGTTTTTTCTAATGCACCCCTGGGAGAGATTTGCTATAGGGTTATTCAAGAAACACCATACAATCAGAATGACTATAATAATCGAGATAATAATATTGCTCTTAATATTAATCAGCAAACAGCGATACGTCTCCTTGAAAAACTTGGAATTTTGGGTAAAATTGCTAACCTTATCTTAAATATAATATCAATTCATATCAGAACAGGGTCCTAAATACTAAATAGAGAACTGCAGAGTATTTTAGTTTTTTCAGAGTTCACCAATTTGAGTTACAGAAAATTTTACAGTTAATAATCAATATAGACATAGCACAAAATATTTATATAAACTTTTAGGCTTGTAGGTGGTGGTGGTATACATATAGAAATTGGTGTTTTTTTTTTAAATCTAAATCCAACTTAACTGTAGGAACCGTGTACCATGAAGATGATAATAAATCCATAGGCACTCGAGTGTGTATGTGTGTATGTGATGGTGGCGATGTGGATGTATTGAATGAAATAAATGAAAATTGCAGATGAAAAAACACAAGACACTTTAAGCATTTTCACAGAGTTGTGGTATCATGAAACCATTTGATACTGGGTTACTCTCTGGTCTGTCATTAACATCAGTTGAAACCGTTCGGTATCAGAAAGTTATGAAATGTTTTGGTATCATTTCGCAGATAGATTCAATGTCGGAATGTGTGTATGTGTCGGAAAAGCTGACCTTTGAGCATTATCGAAAAATAAACTCACTAAAATAACTACTTTTTTTTTTAAAGATAAAAGTCAAAATGACATTATGTTGGTAATACAATGTAAAATTGGCAATGCTTTCAATTTTTTTACGTGGAAAAGGCTTGTGTTGCCAACATAGTAGTGATGTAAAATGCTCGAGCAAGTATTTTAGGAGAACGTTCTCCGAGCAGGATCGAGAATTAACGAGCAAAAACGAGCAGGACCCGAGAATTTATGCTTTTTATCAGACGCTGAAAAAAACAAAACATTTTTCTAAATAAATTCTGATTTTTCTCAAATTTCCCGAAATTTCCAAATTTCTCGTGGAAGTTCTGAATATTCTGAAAATTCTTCATAAATGTGCTGAAAATTCTCAAACTTCTTGGGAAAATATAATACATATATCCTATTCACAATCTGTAGTCCAAAGGTACAGGTAAATTTATCACCTTTCCCTATCAAATAGCATTGAAAGGTGATAAATTTTACCTGTACCTTTGGACTACAGATTGTGAATAGATAATAATTAATCTCATAATCTGTGAATTGTGTCTTGTGTCATGTTTGACAACAATAATTATTCTAATTTGGGTTTTTTTCTAGTAGAACTACTTTGTCTTCACATTTAACTGTTGTGAGTGATGTTGATCCTGCATTTGACAACAGGTTGGTTCTCTGTTTTTTTATTGAACATTCATATTACAAAGACAAATTGCTTTTGCTTGAGTTTTCAGTTTATTTGTATGTATTAATGT